ATGTCTGTATCCACATTCATTACATGTGTGTATAGCAATAGTTTCCTTTTTTTTTTCCCCCCACTGAAGTTAACAACGATCTGGTTTCTGGATCTGCCTTATTTCCTTTGTAATTTTTGCTAATTGCTGCCGCACCTTCTAGTAGCTGTTGGTGTGGCTTTCCGCAAGGGCCGCCACATCTAGTATTACCTGCTCTAGACCCAGTTTTCAGGTCCTTGCTGCCTCGCTGCGTGGCGTGGCGTGGGTGCCATTCTGCGACTTCCTTTTGTGGTCCTCCATGGCACTCCCTCTGCATCTTTCAGGTTGAAGATCCCGTTTTCTGCATCTCGCCTTCTTCCTTCTGTTTGGTTTATGCCCCCGTTTGGAGCACATCGTCCAGCGTCCAGAACAGGCACCTGTCAGTATCCGAGTCTGTTCAGCTCCTGAGTTCAGATGGCAGAGTGGGAACAGGGAGCGGCACCTGTAGTCTTGTCGGATTAAAAAGACCGTTCAATGGTCAAGGGCACGGCAACAACAACACTCAACAGGCCCAGGGCTTAGGTCATGCTGCTTTGAGCTGAACAGGGACCCTCGATGGCTTCCTCTGGCCTCTTCCCACCTCAGTCCCGGAGATCCCCTTCCCTTGTGTCGTGTGTCTTAGAGGCCATCTTCTCGTGTTCCTGAGAGGAGTGTCTGAAGATATCTTTATTCTCCTTAAATGATGATTAGGCTGCGTAAAGAATTCTAATGGGAGAATTATTTTAAGAATTCCAGAGGTATTGGTCCTTTGTCTTGTTTCCCCATTACCGTTGAGCAATCCGAAGCCATTCTGCTTCCAGAACCTGTGTATGTCACTTTTTTTCTCCCTCTCTGCAAGATTTCTCGATGCCAGTGTTCTGAAATCTCACAGTGATGTGCCTTGTGGTGGGTCTGCTTCCCTCCCTCGTGCTGACATTCGGTGGCGCTTTTCAACCAGGTCACTCACATCTTTCAGTTCTGGGAAATGCTCTTAAATTATTTGGTAATTTTCTCCCGTTTTTTAAAATTTTCTGTAACGCCTGCTTTTCAGATGAAACTTCCGGACCAGTTCTCGAGCTCTCTTTCCTATCCTCTCTTATTTCCATTTTTCTCTTCAATGTACCTTTGGGTTGAGTTCTGCAGCTTGCTAGCATGATTCGTACCTTCCGCAAAACTCTTTAGTTCTCTGAATGGTCTTTTCAAATCGCCACATTCTTGTTTCATGAACGCGGTGTCTAATCTGCCTGTGCCCGGGGTCTGTCTTTTCCAAGTTGTGCTGTGGTTCGGTTTGGTTTGGGTTTATGTGTCCTCGTCTCTGTCTTCCAAGTCAGAAGCTTCCCTCTGATGTCTACCGGTCCATGATTGTCCCTTACAGGATTAAGCACCGGGGACGAACAAGCTGATTGGAAGCTCTGTGTGTGATGCGTGGCCTTGCTACGTGGCAGGTCCACACCGGTTCACCTGAACAAGCCGTTTGGACACCATTTGGGTTCTGGCGGCAGCATCTGTGTCTGTAGGCCTTTCCTCTCGGACTAATGAGATTCTCCAGAGGAGAAAGTGGGGGCCTGGCTGCCTGGTTCTGGGAGCCCAGTGGGGAGGAGCTTGGGGCACTCAACATCAGTACTTAAAATAACCTTCATCTTGATTTTGATGTATTACTTTTGCTCTCAGCTGCACTAGTCAACTCTCTGTGCAGAGACCCCTCTGTTTTGTGCTCTCCGGAGAGTAAACCTTCAGACTCCATGGGGACGGGGGAGTCTAAGGCTTTTACTTCCTTCCTTCAGCCCTTTTCATTTTCATTTGTTCATCCCCGTCGCCCCTGGTCTGGGAGGGACCTGAAGCTCCTGTCTCAAGACTCATTTAAGGATTCTTGTTATAAAGGAGGTTTGATTTGATTTGATGTTGATTTGAAATCGGTTTTGTCTGAAATTTGGCGATCACAAATTTCCCAGAATTTCGTCGGCGGTGTCTCCTCTCTGTTCAGCCCCATCCTGCGACTGTATGTCTTCAAAGAAAAAACAAAAAACTTTTTACCAAGTTGGATTCAGGTGGTAGTGAAATTTGAGATGCGTACTTGAAACCCCAGGCCCCTCCCACAAAGGGTTTGTAGCTGGAGTAGCAAAATCACTGTGACCAGGTTGGCTGTGATACCCAGACACTTTTTTTTAATGTTTATTTATTTTTGAGAGGCAGACAGACAGAGCACGAGCAAGGGAGGGGCAGAGAGAGAGGGAGACGCAGAATCTGAAGCAGCTCCAGGCTCTGAGCTGTCAGCACAGAGCCCGACGTGGGGCTCGAACCCACGACTGTGAGATCATGACCTGAGCTGAAGTCGGACGCTTAACCGACTGAGCCACCCAGACGTTCCCCGCCGCGACATTTTTAGGATGGGATTCCTGAAGCATTTTTAAAAGATGTTATATACATTATTTATGGCCACTGCGGACAGTTTGAAGTAGAAAGGAGGAAATAGATGCTGCCTGTCCATGGTGGGAGGCTTCTAGGCATGGATTTTTCTTTGGTGGTGGTTTTTGTGGCACGGCCCTTGCACGGGTGAGAAGGAGGCTTCAGCGCCTGGAGCGGCAGAGAGCCGAGCTTGGCGAAGGACCATCGTGGCGGACACGTGCCTCTGTGTCAAGGCTGTGGGCCCGGGAGCAGGGCTGCCTGAGAGAAGGAAGCTGCAAGGGTAGGTGGGAAGCCCCGTGTCAGTCCTGGGGCTTGGCCACCACAGTGGGGCCTCTGGGGTGCAGTGCGTGGCCTGCCGGGCCCTGTGTGGATGTGATTCTGAGGAACACTTTCTGACAGATCTGTTCCGTTGAGTGACACGAAGGAACCTACAGGCTGACCCAGGTCAGCTGAGTGTGTGGTGAGTTCACACGTGCCGCCCAGATATCGGGGGGCTATGTGGAGGAAAGAGCATTTCCCATCCTTTCTGGGGTATCTGCCCTCAGGGTCAGTGCCTTGTGATGTTCTGCTTTTCCCTCCTACTTCCTTCCTCTTTTCACTGGCAAGCAGAGGTTCTCTGAAAGGGTTTTTTTTTTTTTTTTTTTTTCTCACAGAAGCTCCGTGGATGTTTCTGGGCCTCATGGCAGTGTTGGGATGAACATCTGGTGGAGGGTTATCTGCTGCTTATTTGCTTTGCACCTGGGTCTTCATGGACTCCATTCTGGGGCTCTGGGGCTCCCAAAGGTGTCCCTGCCTTGTCTGCTTCTCCCTTTGCCCTTGGACCCTTGACGGCTTGGCAGGGAGGGGCTGGAAGACACTTTGTAGATCACGTAGTCCAACTCACCCATTTAACAGATGAGGAAACCGAGGGTGGGAAGTCTGAGTCAGGACTAGAAGCCACGTCTTCTGACTCTGAGTTCAATGCTCTTCCCAACCAGACTCTGCCTCTCGTGACTCCCTTATACTTTTGAAGGTTTTGATGTGGTGGGGGAGGGGGTTGAGGGCCATTGGGCATGTGTGAGCTAACAAATGGGGTGCGGGTTTGAGGGGGGATCGCTGGCTGGTAATGGAGAGAAGCCTTATGGACCTTTGGGTTGGACCAGTTCTCTAATGGGCTCTCAAGGGTTGTTTCTGTGGGGCAGTGTAAGCTGGGGGACAGAGCTTCACAGATGGCTCCCCCCCCAGAGTGTGAGAGAGATCCTGATTCAAGTTTCTGCTTTGACCTAGGACATGGGCAAATCGTAATCTTTTTGAACATTAGCTTCCACTGTTAACATGAGATACTAATAGTACTAGTAGCTGCCCCAAGGAAGGAAGGAAGGAAGGAAGGAAGGAAGGAAGGAAGGAAGGAAGGAAGGAAGGAAGGCAGGCCTGCCTGTCACGTGCTTAGTACCGCGTCTGACACTTAAAGCAACACTCTCTATTGCCCTCTGTGTATTCATGTATTTGGGCAGCAAACGTTCCTGGAGCTCAGTACTGTGCTGAGCTTACCTGTCTGTGTCGCACCTGGGGTTTCCTTAGGGTTTACCTGTGGCGGCTTGGAGCACCTGTGGCCTGTCGGTACCTTAACTTACAGTCCCTCCTGTGCTGGCCTTAGGGAGGCTCCTCCCAGCCCACCCCCTCCCTACACACCGTGGGCAGAGCCCACCTTCCAGCCTGCTGCTGCGCCCTCCCTGGGGAAGGGGCTGCGCCTGTGGGAGACCCAAGCCCGTGCTTTCTCCAGTGCCTGGTTTTCCAGGGAGCCTTGGCTGGAGGGGGATGGGAGAAGGAGCCCGAAAGGGAGGGGAAGCCCGGGAAGCTGAACGGGAACTGGAAGGGGAAGGGTGTGGGTGGGCCCAGATCCAGCTGCCTCCTACTTTGCCTCTTCTGCCAATCCCCTCCCCGCGGGCGGGCGGGTGCACTGGAGGCAGGGGCTTGGCTTGGCTGGATTTCCTGGGAGGGGGGGGAAGCCGAGAACTCTGTGTCTCTGAGCAAAGGGGGTTGAATTCGCAACACCCCCACCCCTAGCTGAGGCCTGCGGCGGGGGCTTTGTGATTTCACTGGCTTGAGGCCCACACCTGAAACAGGGAAGATGAAAAGCCCCTAAAATCAAGCAGTGTGCGTGCGAGGGCCCCCTCAAGCCCACCAGTTTCCCCAGGCAAATGGGGCCGATTTGTGGGGACTGGGGGGGAGCAGCCTCCAGGTCAGTCATCAGAGTGGCCTTGGCTTCGGCCTCTCCCCACCACCGGGGTGCCCTCCAGAGAGCACTGCAAACCTAGGCCTTCGGCCCGCAGCCCGAGTTCAACCCCAGCTCGCTCTGCGCCCAGGCGCTGGTCCTAAAGTGAGCTGACATTCATTTCACATCCTGTGACTGCAGCTCACTTCCTCCACGTGGTGGGAGCGGTGTGGGGGCGGGGGCGTGAAGGGAGGACAGATTAGAAGGAAAATGTAGCGGGGCTGGGGACCTCTGGGATTTCCCAGGGGGGGCTGGGTGGGAGGGAGGGTGCGGGAAGCTTTCAAAGGAGAGAACAGACGTGAATGAAGAAAAGGGAGGAGGCAGGAGGCAGCTGGAAGTCCCAGAAGTGGCACCCACTGCGCCCCAGCAACGCGGAGGAGGCCGCGGGGAGACTGCTGCTGCCTCGGAGGCAGGAGGCGGCCCTGGGGGAAGCCAGGCAGGACCCTGGCAGCTCAGTCTCTGAGTTCCCCTACTCTCTGGGGTGCTAGTTTGGCCGGAGCTGCCGGTGAGCCTGGGAAGAGGAGTGAGGTCAGAGGAACAGGCCTCACAGGCCCCGGGGCTGAGGTGGGGGGGGGTGGTCAGGTGGGACCTGGATGGGGGGGTGCCCTGCCCTGCTGACCCCTCTTGTCTGCCCCCCCGACAGGTGGAGCCACTGGAAGCCCACACGCCAGGCAGCCCGAGTCTCCCTCAGCACCAGGATCTATGTCTCATTTCTAACTCCTGATCACGAAGACCACGATAATTCCTTCCCCAAAGCCCAGCAGCCCCCCAGCCCCGCGCAGCCCCAGCCTGCCTCCCGCCGCCCAGCTGCCCGCGATGCCCTCCAGCGGCCCCGGGGACACCAGCAGCTCCGCTCCGGAGCGGGAGGAGGACCGCAAGGTGAGCGGCTGGCTCTGCCCAGGGCCCCCTGGGGAAGGGAGGGCCCGTCCCCGAGCAGTGGTGATGTCCATGTGCTGAGCGCTGGACCGCGCAGCTCAGCCTTCCCCCTGGGCGGTGGAGGGGGTGATGTCCCTGTTCGGGGCGATGGCTGGTAGAGGTTCAGCCCTGGTGGTACAGTGGGAATTTGAACCACGTGCCAGGTTCCAGGAGCCAGGCTTTTAACCTTCCTGGTGTCTGCGCAGAGGCTCAGGCCCTGGGTCTGTACAGCGTTGGGGGTCGGCCTTGCAGCGTGTCCCTAAACCCAGATTCCTTTCTGGCTTGGCCTCCTACCAGCCCTGTGTCCTCGGGTAGGTCATTTTACCTGTCTTAGCTGCCTCTGCTTCCTCAGGGTATTCAGTAGCTTCTGGGAGGCCAAAGACCAGGTCAGGGAGGCTCAGTAGATGTGAGGCCGCGTGAGGGCTCCTCCTCCCATACATGGTGATACCAGTCATCCTGGAGATGGTGATTTCCTGCCCCTCACCGCCACCCCGGGCTCTGAGTGATTGTCACTTCTGACCGTGGAGCCAATGACCTCCTTGTTTTCAGAGCCTCATGAGAGGTGACTTCATCACCCTCTGATGAAGTCCAGGATGAGCCTAAATCAGAGGAGATCCCAGCAGACCAGTCGGGACGCCTGCTGGGTCCCAACAGGCTGCCTTGGAACCTCAGCAAGCCGTGTCCACCTATAGGTAGAGCCACCCTGAACCCCCAACAATGGGATTCTGTGTCTCCCCCATCAGGGAAGTGGTGAACCCCACCGCCACCCTTCTGGGGAAGCTGTGCCAGCCACGGGCCTTTCTGGGGTGTCCTGCCTGCCATGCCCTGGTCCCCACGGTTTCCTCTGTCTGCTCTCCTTTTCCTGAGCAAGGAGTGAGGGGTGGTGATGCTCGGCTGGGGGATATAGTTTGTCTTTCTGGAACCAGAGTGGACACCTGCATCAGGTGTGGGCCCCCTGGGCCCTCTGAGGAGTGTCCCCTCTGCTTGGCCACCGTCAGGGGCAGCTCTGAGACTGTCTCACTGCTTATCCTCCCCTGTGCGTGCTCAGCTCCTTCCTGGGCTTGCTCATTCTCAGAGCCCGTTTCAGTTTTCTGAGTGGTTTCCATCCGTGCGGTTCTTGGAAGCAGCCCTTGAAACAGGTGGGGTGGGCCAGGGGCAGACGGTGAGGATGCTGAGCCCAGCTACTCAGGGGTGGGTCCAGATGAGGGCCTGGTGGCTCAGAACCTCTCCCGCTACCCCACCTGTGTCAGTCCTCGTGCGGACATACACACAGGTGTGAGCACAAAGCCTGGGCGCCTGCCTTCCCAGTCTGGAATCCAGCAGAACACCCTGGTTGGGGGCGTGTATGCAGCAAAATGGGGAGAAAGTGCTTGCCATGGCCCACTGAGCCAGGCTTCTAGGGGCTACTAGTCCCCTTCTCTCTGACCCCATGGAAAAAGAACAGGTGGTCCAGGTCATTCTGTGGGCCTTCCGGGCCACTCCTGTCTCAGGTGGCGGTAGACCTACGCCCCGCCACCACAGTCAGGGCCACCTGCGGCCAGCCACCTGTGCTCTTGAGTGAAGCTATGGGTAATTCCCTCCCCACCCCCAGCTCTGCTTTACTTCTCCGTTGGGTTAGGTGACCCTGGCCTCCCTAGGTGGTCCGACACAGTCCATGTCCATATGCTCACAGTTGGTGGTCAGCTGCCCCCCCTCCCCCGAAGGTGGGGACAGTCAGGCCAGATGCCTCTGGTTCCTGATCTGTGCCGCCCTGGAGAGCAGAGGCTCTGGCTCCCTCACATGGAGACCAGCAGGTCAGGCTCTCTGTGATGACAGTTCAAGATCGAGAAAGAGCACTGGACAGAGTCAGAAGTCCCTGGGCCCAGGCCTGAGTATGCCACTTCCTGAAGATGTGACTTCAGGCCATCCGGGCTTGCATTTGCTCAGCCGTGAAGTGGGGATCATAACTCTGGCTGTGCCTGTTTTACAGGGTGGTTGTGGAAGTCAGATGAGGTCATGGGCATGGAAATGCCCTGCAAACAGCAAAGTCTGGTCCAATTATGAGGGATTACGATTGCTATTATTATCTACCCATAGTAACTGTTCTGGCTCAAGCGGCAACACACGCACACCCGGCCCCAGATCCTGGTGCTGATAGAGCTGCCGATAGATGGGGGCCGGGGCCTGGCGGGGGCTCCTCCCCAGCCGCCCACGCCCACAGCATGCATGCCGGCTCACCTGGCACACCTCCCTGGCACCTCTGAGCTGGCTCGCACAGCTCCGGGGAGCCACCGGGGAGGGCGGGTAGAGACACCGACGGCCGCCCACGGCAGCCCCAGAAAGCCAGGCCTGGGGCAGAGGCGCCATGTCGCTACAGAGGGGGAAGATGGGCTTGGGTTGCGGCCCAAGAGGCCTGGCAGAGTCGCCGGGGCACCTGGCACGAAGGAACCACTTGGTGAGCCAGAGGGAGGGGGTGTGGCCACGCCCTGGCCCCTGCTCCACGGGCCCCATGTGCCCCTCCAGCCTCCGTCCCGGCCACGCCTCCAGGCACCTTCCACTTGGGTACTTCCTGGAGCTGCTGGGCCTCTGTTTACGCGGCTTCCTCTGCCGGTGTGCCCGCTCCCTAATCTTCACTGTTCCTCTCTGATCAAGGCCCTTGCTTCTTTCAGTTGGCCTTGAAGTATAGTTTGTAGTGGGTATGTGGTTCCCAAAACGGGACCCCCCCCCCCTAAACTGGCAGCACCAGTGGCACCAGGAAAGGTTAGAGATGCACGTCAGAAACTCTGGGGCTGGGCCCATCAATCTGCGTTTTAACCAGCTCTAGGGCATCTGGGAAGTACTGATGTGGATGAGATCAAGGGGGAGGGCAGGCCTGACTAGCCTAGAGTAGGTGCTCAGGAAATACACGGCAGACAGCAGAGCAAGGAAAATGAGGGGCATGGGACCCTTCCACAAGACAGCAGCCTGGGGCCTGGATTAGGCAGGCCCAGTGCAGAGCCGTGGGTGGTGGCCGAGATGGAATCTTATGCACTGGGAGTGCATAGAGGGGTCTGCCCCGCACCTCTTCTCCCTGTGGCCCCCCTACCTTGCCATCCATATGTTCAGTGGGGAGGGAGCTGCCTGGGGAGGCTGGGACCATGCAGATTTTGGGGGCAGAGCTCTGGGGTTCTCCCCATGGTGGGTCAGCTGGGTAGATGTAGCCACATGGAGGGAGGGGGGAGGCTGGCCTTGTGGGAAAATGGGTGTGTGTTGGTGGAGGTGAACAGCAGGGAGGCCCAGAGCCAGGGTCCTGGCTTGCAGAGGAGCATGGAGGTGGGGTACCAGGCCCTGAATGGAGGGGAGGGGAGGGGCAGAAGCAGCAGGAAGGGGTTGGAAAAGCCTCCTCAGCTCCCCAAATATGAGTCAGTATCTGGCCACCAGTCCAAGCCCCAGGCTGGGCCCCGATCATGTCCGTGTCGCTCCCCTCTTTCTTTCCTCTGGCCTCAGAATCACAGCAGCCAAGATGCTCTGAGCGCTGACTGTCTGCCAGGTGCTACTTGAAGCTCAGTGCTTTGCATTATCTTGTTTCATTCTGACCATTGTTCCAGAAAATAGGCTGTATTCTTTTCACCCTCCATCTTATTAGTGACTAAATGGATGCTTAGAGAGGTGAGGTCACTTGCCTAAGGTCACACTGCTCATGAGTGGCTAGCAAGTGGGCTTGGAACCCAGGCCGACTGTGCTCTTGGCCTCTGACCATCAGGCTGCCTCCTACAAGAAGAGAGTAGAGTGAGTGGTGCCTCCAGCCATGATGCTCCCCAGTCCTGCCCACATTGCTTCTGCTGCAGGGGCCAGGATGTTTATCTAGACTAGAAGTCAGGATGACCAGGGAGTGCCTTACTCCGTGTGGCAGTGCTCTTGCCCCGGGGTGGGTGTTGTGGGAACTTCATCTCCAGTAAGAATTTGCATACAAGGCTAGTGTGCATGATTGTGGGTGTGTGTGCGTGCACACACAGACACTCCAGACACACGCTGTTCAATGAAGACAGGGCTGTGGACACCCCGCTTCTTACCATTCTTCCCTCCCTGCCTGTCCGCCTCCCTCCTGCACACGTCGTTTCTCTTTCCTTCTCTTCCTCTCTTTCCAGGTACCTTTCCAGGCACCTAGCACATAGTAGGGCTCCACAAGTCTGTCGGATGAACTAAATAAACATTCCTGGAGGACCTAGTAAAGGAAAGGGGGTAGGAAAGTACAAGCCTTGCCTACCATCCTGAGGTGGAGGCCCCTCCTGGGCAGCTGGGTGGTAGAAGCAACAGCGTATTTGTGCTGGGGGAGCATAGCAAGTGTGTGTGTGTGTGTGTGTGTGTGTGTGCGTGTGTGTGTGTGTCCACTGCTGTGGCTGGGGCTCCTCCCTCCACACCTAAGTCCAACTCAAAGGCCTGGCAAGTGCTGACTTCCATTGGGCACTGACTGCTTCCTGTATTCTGGTACACAAACTCAAGGGCACCCTGGGTAGGCTTCCCCCAGCTCCTCTCTCCATTGTTCTTGCTGATCCACAGGTCTGTGGCCCACTCTGGGCCCGCTCTGCCTTTATTTCACTCAGATGCCCACCCGTCAACGCTCAGGGCCGGCTCTCTGCTTTATAATAGTCACTATGGGGGTTGTTTATATAACATCTCTCTTAGTCCATCAAACAGTAACAGAGAAGGCAACTACCTCTTCAGGAACACAGCTGATAAAGGCGCATCCATTTTTAGTTCAGTGGAGCCGATTAGATGCTTGGTCGTGTAGAATGGACGCTTGATGTAAATGGTGCCCACCCCCGAGCTGGCTGGCACCCATGTGTTAGGCTGTGCATTCTCTAAAATTCTCTTTAGCTATGACAGGCATACCTCGGAGATATTACAGGTTCCTTTCCAGATCAGCACGGTAAAACGAATATTGCAATAAAGGAAGTCAAATCCATTTTTTTTTATTTCCCAGTGCATCGAAGTTATGTTTGTAC